CAAATAACGCGCTGTCTCAATCACAGCCAAATGTGACTTCTTTTACGGTAAACCATCTCAAATTGATCTGAAAACTCCGAGTATTCCTATGTTATCTAAGAAAAAGAATTTAATTATCGGCTTTCTGCTTTTGGTAGCTTTACCTTTATAAAATCCTTAGTTATATCTTCCAAAGTCCTAATACAGCTAGCTATAAAGCTTGTTAAGCTGTCTTATTCGGGGTATCGTTTCCGTAGTACATCTACCTAATAAAAACGATTTGGCATCGGCTATTTGTGTTCATATCCTGGTAGTAAATATCGAAAAAATAATAGGCAAGCTCGAATAGTGACAAATATGAATATGTAATCTAAATACTCTTAAGAGGTCATGAAGATAGCTACTTAGTATAATCCGATTATGAGTTTAGGTGATAAGGAAGTCGGATTACTCGGAGCATTGTCTATTGCGTAGCAATCTCCAAGGCAGTAGAATGCATAATGGTGGTTACAGACGGTGTATCAGAAAGAAACATCTTTAAAAAACATTAGGGAAATGTAAAAGGAGTTTTTTATCCAAAAATAGTAAATAAAAATTATATAAGGCTTGAGTGGAGTGCGAAAATAAATGGAATGGTGCGAAACAACATTTTATCAGGAATATCGTGAGAAATTTCAAAAAAAGTTTTTATGAAAAGTCTGCTTGAATGCACGGAAAATTAAGTAATCCTGGTTATGATAAAAATAATAAGTTATCAATCTAGGCGACTCAAACTGACGTCTGTAAAAAAAGGACACAAATTAGCAGCGCAAAGCCTAGAGTAAATTACAATTTGTCATACCATTTTCGTAAACGTTGACAGGGTCAGAAGATCTTGACAAATTGCACGGGGTAATTGTGGTGATTTCAGTTGTGCTGGAATCGTTTGGAGTTTCTCTGATTGGAAGGCTATCAAGAACGGAGCGGCTCATGAATTTTTGAATGATGTCATCGGTAATAGTGGATGACTAAGAGAAAAGTGGGATAGGGAGTTTGTGGTGGAATCAGAAATAAAGTATGCCAGTAATAACGATCAAGTCAAAAGTAAGAATATTTCTCAACGTAATCGTATTAACATTTGTTTATTATAATTTTCTGAGTGAATGATTAATAGATTGCATTCTTTACTTATTGATGAATTTATTGTCACAGCCAGCTAGTAGGACGTAATCTCGCAATATTAATATAACACTACTCAGAACATGAAATATTCTCACTCCGTCCTGCCGCATTGAGTCAATATTTTAAGGCGGAAACACTCTGGACTGGCGACAGTCCTGTGCCACTCCTTCCTGCATCAGAGCATTGCTCATTTGCTCCGACACCACACTCTTTCATCGGCTTAACTTTGACCCCCCCAAATTCTGAGTTGTCACATTTCTTGTTATATACAAGTTACTCCGTAACTTGTTCTTGTTTCTCTATAGACTAGCGCGAAGCCGAGTACATACTAAGTGAGATTTAAATCACTATAAGTTCATCCTGGTCCAGGCGTATGGTCCGGATAGCAGCTTATCTACAAGAGATTGGAAACTACAAAACTTGCTAACCTTGCCCGATAGGCAAAATTATCTTAGATATTGTCTAAGCAGGACTTGCATTGTTAGCCTTAACCAAAAACTTTAGACGAAAGGGAAATCCCGATGATACGAAAACGTTATAAAATTTTTAAATACCCAGACTTATTCAAATATTTGAAGTGATTTTCTTTTCTTTTTTAGACCTTAAGTGCTAAAGAAAGGCACAAAATAAAGCGAATATAGCGCATACAAATAAAGGAAAACAGAGCTATTCCCGGCCGTATATAATGTTCTGAATGTAGCTAATGTCGTTTGCCTTACAAAACAGTAAACCTACAATAGTTTCACAGTGCGGCACATACAAAGCCAATCTTCGTTTGTTACAAGGAAAATATGATGCCACACTTATATTCTGTAAACTGGATGATTGTTGCCCTACTAAATATGGCAGTTTATTCGATCTTAAGAACTCTTAACTAATCATTCTTATTACAAAACGAGTGAGTATTTACTTGGATAGAGGGATTGTTAGCCCTTTATCCCATTGACTCATAGTTACCCAACAATTGTGATTTCCTAGTCAAAGCGTACTGAAAAGAAAACTCATGCATCCCAGCGGAAGTGAGGTGCTCAATAAAAATTGTATACTACTCTCTAACTTGTTTATTTAACAGGATCGCCACCTTAGAAAAGGTTTGCGAAAATTCGGGTATTTCTAATTTTAAGTGAGTATATTCACAAAGGACAAATTATGAATTTAGACAAAATGATGGAGAGACTATGAAGCTAAAGCAGAAAAAAATGTGTCAGTGGTCAAAAGCCACAAGTTACTACCAATTATAGTGGCGGATTGTTAGCCATTCATAGACAGTTGTGGTGTGAGATATTACATTACTCACAGCAGGAATTATAGTTGCATCCAAACGCTTAATGGGCATAGTAGGAAATGAAACATCTGAAGCTTTTTTATCAATTAGAGGGCCAGCAAATTCGATCGTATTCGTTCCAGAAGCAATTGAAACGATGCTCGGTCGCTGGACAATATGACTGTGGGATCCTGGCTTAATCTTAGTCTTAATCGAATCAGCAATCCTCGATGTGGCCTCTGTATGGCTGTCTTGCCCTAGCCAGGAGGGCCGGTGATAGCGACAGATCTGACCAGGCTGCCTTCGCACGACAACTACGATTCCCCTGTGGTTCGAGCCAGGAGCCTCGTCAGCAGTAAATAGGGTAGATGCTGCACCTGCACTGTAGTGGAGAGGTCGTAACCGATTAGATTCTCTTTGTGGTGAAGGTGGTATTTTGCCAAATCCAAGTAAGCAATGAGAACAGGGTTCGGCTTGCAAAGACGAAAGCTGGGAGAACGCAGAGGCTGAAGTAGAAGTTGTATTTTTGGCTGACCCTTGGCTCCTACAAGATATCCTTTGGCGAAGAGGATCTAGATAGGCCATATGTTCGAGGTCTCCCGCGCTATGGCGACGACAGGGGGTGGAGCTAGGCTCAGTTGACGAGGATTTAATATAATTTGTCCCCCGATGTCTGGCTGGATCCTCGAAAGAACGGGGACGAGGACGTAGAATGCCTGACATAGGATATGTGAATGCAAGATTACCTCGATCAGCCACTTGATTACTGATTCTCCCCAACTCCTCTGAAGCACGATTAGGACAGGTGGTTTGGAGTGAATGATAGGCTTGCTTGTGGGACAGCGCCTCAAGACTATTTCAGGAAGATTATTTCAATTTGCATATTTTGCACAAAATAGGTGTAAATAAAAGAATAAGCAAACATAAGTTTGGATTTCATAATCCAATGATAATGAAATATGATGATTAATAAACTGATATGCCAAACAAGAGAATTTGACAAACATGGCACATTATTAGAACTAGTTGTACCACCTCAAACTTTTCTTACATTCGTAATAATTGCAAAGCATAATAAATTACTCTGAATCCTTGGCATTTAATTATGGGAAATGACTATAGTCACCATATATTATTGCATTGGTAATAACGGTATTATATTCAATTCAATAATGCACATCTGAAAGTATTTGATAGAAGCAACGCACCTTATCATACAAATCCTCACCACTTAGCAAGTATATAGAACAAAAAGCAAATATCAAGTGAAAGCCATAATATTATTATTGGGACTTTCATTTCGTATGAAAGTGTATGAAGAAGAGATTCGAATGTTAATCTCATCAGGAGAGAAGGGTTAAATCCCGTTGTGCTGCAGCCGTCCTTTTTTAGTGAGATCGACCTTCGAATCTCTTCGCCATACACTTTCATAAGAAATGAAAGTCTCAACAATAATGTTATTTAGGAGATTCATCGAAACCCAGTAACTCTTCATGTCTACAAGGCTATAAGTAATAAATAAAGAGTTGGGAAATAGATGGGAAAGAGGCAAAGTTTAAGAAAATAAAAAAATAAAATGGTGTCTTAAAAAAATAGGAATTTGATAAAAACAGACAATTGATTTATATATAGGTAAAAAGCATAAGATGAAACAGAGGTTGTTTAAACTTGTTTTCGTAACATGATCATATTGGTAGGAAGACTTAGAGGAACACACCTCGTCCGGAGTCCATTGTCTGCATGATTGTCTAAAGTTGAACTATGGACGTGGTACAATCCCAAACGTTTTGCCGGCATCGTCAGTGAGTATCGCCATTCTTAGCACCATACAACAACTCGTCAGTGACACGTGAAACCGATTCTTTGACCCAACGTGTGCTAAACAGTTGTGGCATCTGCCATTCTGCCCTAGGCTATTTACATTTCCTATATCCTCCTATCACACCTTCACTGTTACCATTTTCCCCCTTGCTTATTTAACTCTAGACTTAGGGAAGAGGAACTGCGTAACAATATGGCAGACTCTGATAAACATTCCCAACATAAGGTTAAGGGGGTGAGAACGACAGTATGAAGGGTTTTCATGAATGGCGCTCAAAAGAGCACACCACGGTAAAAATTGTAACAGTGAAGGCGTGATAAGAGGATATAGGAAATGTGAATAGCTCAGGGCAGAAGGAGAGATACCACAACTGTTTAGCACATGTTTGGCCAAAGGATCGGCTTACTTGTCTCTTTGACGAGTTGTTGTGTGGTGCTAAAAATAGCGATACTCACTGACGATGCCGGTGAAACGTTTGGGAATGTTCAACGTCCACAGTTCAACTTTGGAAATGATCATGCAGACATTGGACTGCGGACTAGGTGCGTTCCTCTAAGTCTTCCTACCTATATGACCACGTTGCGAAAACAAGGTCAAACAACCTCTATACAACAAAAGAAGACTGTGACCAC